AGCTCTACCCATAAGCTCCTAAGTAGTTCCTTCTTGGGATTACCGTATAGGATTCTAAATGTAAACCACAAAAAGGAACTACCTAGGGGCCTATAACCTTTTAGGATTCTACATATACACCATAAAAAGGAACTACCTAGGGGCCTATAACCTTTTAGGATTCTAAATATACACCATAAAAAAGAACTACCTAGGGGCCTATAACCTTTTAGGATTCTAAATATACACCATAAAAAGGAACTACCTAGGGGCCTATAACCTTTTAGGATTCTAAATTTAAATATACACCATAAAAAGGAACTACCTAGGGGCCTATGGGTATAGTCTTGAAAACCTAATTCTTATGGAGCCCTGGAAGGCGAACCCTGAGAGCGACAGGGTTTGGGGGGGTTGGTTTACGGGCTTCACTTCAGGCTTGGGTCTCGGGGTTTATTTAGCGTTTAGGCTTTGGGTTTAGGGTTTGGGTCTAGGGTTTGGGTTTAGGGTTAGGGTTTAGGGTTTAGGGTTTAGGCTTTGGGTTTAGGGTTTAGGGTTTAGGGCAGCCTTTCCCTGCAGTGTAGCCACACTGGCCTCTGGCGCTTCCACCCAGCGCTGGCGTGGGTTCACGCCGCCGGCAATGTCCTCCGTGAGAACGGGGTCTATCACGTGCATAGGGTCTTGGGAGGTTTGGGATTTAAGGCTCAAGTCTTAGGGCTGTGGGGATTCAGTGTTAGTTGACAGGGTATATGTTTCTTTATGGCTCAAGCTTAGTTTCCATCCTTGTCGTCTTACGGTTTAGGATTGATGTTTGAGGGTCCAGGTTCGGAGATTCCGGCCACAAGGCCTGGCATGCTAGCATGAGGATTCAGTGGTCGAGGTGGATGAACTGAAACTCGAGGCCCTGACAGCTTCCCTGCGCAGTCTTCTTTTGGAGCTGGAGACTACCACCCAGATTTTTTCCACAGTGTAGCACGTGAGATTCTTGATGGGGGGGAGAAGCCAGCGCTATAAATCCCCAACCTTAATCCCGCGACCCAGTTCCTACAAACATCTGCAAACCCAGCAGGATTGCAAGACTCCAGATCGTGAGGTTTATGGAAGGCTTTGGGGTGTAGGTGGGGAGGGGGGGGGTGTTGAACCTTTAGCTCTCCATTTTTTAGCTAAGTCTAACAAAGCCTGGACTGAGACAGCGAACCCCACTCCCTCAAACACCCTTGCAGCCCCTGTCAAAAAAAAACAATCAGCCCCAAACCCTAAACCCCAAGCCCTCAACAAACTGCCCTAAACCCTAAACCTCAAACCCTCAACAAACAGCCCTAAACCCTAAACCCTAAACCTCAAACCCTCAACAAGCAGCGCTAAGCCCTAAACCCTAAACCTCAAGCCCTCAACCAGCAGCCCTAAACCCTAAACCCTGAACCTCAAACGAATGCCTGGCCGATGGTGTTCAGCGACTCTGTGAAAGTCGAAAGGTTCCTTGCGACCGGGCGCGGCTCGCTTGGGGGACTTGGGGTTGGGGTGTTGTGAGGTTTGGGGTTGGGGTGTTGTGGGGTTTAGGGTTTAGGGTTTGGGGTGTAGGGTTTGGGGTTTAGGGTTGAGGGTTTTAGGGGCCCGTAAGAAGTAGAATAGGCGAGGGTTTAGGGATGAAGGCTTAGGGTTGAGGGTTGGGCGGTGTTGGGTTGGGCTTTGGGATTCTACAGCCAGGGTTGAGGGTTTAGTTTAGGGGCTTAGGGGTTTAGGGTTTAGGGCTTAGGGCTTAGGGTTTAGGGTTTAGGGGTTTTGGGTTTCGAGGATGTGTCTTTGGGTGCATTGGGTGGTTTAAGCATGTTTAAGCCTACTGGTTGAGCTCGAACACCGCTCAGGAATGTGACTCCCTAACCCGTAAGGCGTAAGCAAGCTCTCAAGAACCGCAAGTTACACATTGAACAAAAACGGCCAGGAGGGGGAGTGCAGCTGTGAAGCCACTACTTCTTGAGGCTCTGATGTCCGGGCTTTGCTTCAACCCCTGCATCAATTCCGGCCACCCAAAGAAGCTTTGGGTGTTGGCTTCAAAGCTTACGGTGCATGCAAGGGCAGGGTGTTCAAGACAGAAAGTCTGCTCTAAGCTGGTCAGCAGCATTCTCGGGAAGGCATCATGCTGCAGCATGACATGATGCCCTAAACCCTACACCCTAAACCCTAATTTTTCTAAACCTGGAAAGGCCATCACTGCAACAAAAAACAGTTCCCTGGATCCGCACCCGAAGCCCGAACGCCAAACCCTGCCCGAAAACCCCTGACCCTGAATTAGGGTTTAGGGTTTAGGGGTTAGGGTTTAGGGGATGGAAGCGCGTGGATCATTTAAAGCTGCTCGAAATGCTCCCTCCCATGATTACAGCCCCCTCTCCAGAACACCCCCAAACCCCAAGCCCACACCACACACCCCAAACCGAAGCCCTAAGCCCCTAAACCCCAAGCCCCAATGCATGCAAGGGCAAAGGCGCTCTTTTCGCTTCGTCCCAGGATGAGCCGTGGGGCCTCAACCCTTCGAATCTGAGTTGATCCAAGTTGTTTCTATGAGGTGCTTTTGGGGAACATTAGAGTGTAGCTATTTTTATAATTATAGGGCTATTGTGAGTGGATGCTGCTTGAAAGTCTACAGACCCCTCTATGATTATGCATGGGTCGTTGTTGAGGTAATACGCGGCTACGAAGCTTTCATCCTACATAGACCTTGTGTTCCCTCTTCTTGAGGGTTCAGGCCGCCACTCAGATGTTCTTGGTCGGGACAGGTTTAGCGCTTCGCGCTCTCCTCCCTCATCGTGCCTGGGTTCTGAAGTACCCACAGGACAAAGAGTAGACGAATTGCGTCCATATTCTTCTAAAGTGTAGGTGCGATCATATTGAAATTACGCATTGCGCGATATTCATCTGGAGACTCGACCAGGGTTTCTATAAACAATCTAGAACCTGGTTAAGAAGTATCGAAGCACAGTACTCCAGAACCCAGGTGTCTTCGATAATGTTGAGGGTTCTCGGAACTTCATAAAAATACCACCTGCTGCTTAGGCATTGAAGGTCATGTTCCAAACACTCCCTTGTCGTCAGCTTGTTCTTTGCACGATGCTGCGCAACATGTCGTAATAAACTCGTAGTTTGATGTAGAGCGCTTGCATGGCTTCTGAAGTTGTACGTGCGACCTTCTGAATGTGGTATCAAGTGCACTGGGTGGGTGATGCTAGAATTACCTAGCAGCAGGCCCAGAAGGAATGATTGTGCAAGACCGTGCATCTAACGGGCCTGCAGATCAATCCTAATCTAAGTCTCATAAAAAGGAAGAACTCGCAAGTAAATATCGGAGGTGCAGCAGCCGTAGACTTGGCCGATGACCCCGGCGATGGAGTTCCGTCGCATCTCCTGCAGCCCAACTTAGATACGGTTGATGGTATAAATCCTCCACTACCCATAATAATTAAGGAATATACCATCATTCCCATAGTTTAGGGTCCTGAAGGTCATGCAGGATTTATATCATCAACCGGATCCCTGGAAGACACAACACCCTGAATCCTGAGTGCTAACACTGCACTGCAAAACCCCTATAAACCCAAAAAAACCCAAAACCCTAAAGCCGCAACAGCCCAAAAAAAAAGCCCCAGGGCCCAAAAGCCCTTGAACCCGACACCTTTTCTAAGCCCTCATGTGAGGCCCTTCATAATCAGGGCCGGGTTCTTGGGGGGTCTGTTGCATGACCTTACGATGGTGCTAGGCAACTTTAATGAAGAAGGATGGGTTTAGGGTTTGGGAACAGACCTCAGGATTATTCCCTAGCATCTTCTACGGCAAACCCAACCTCACACACCCATCAACTACGAAAACCTTCAGGCACCCTCATAGAAAATCCTAGAAACCCTGAGCCCTTCCCTAAACCCTAAACCCTAAACCCTAAACCCTAGAACCCCTGAGCCCTTTAAGAACACTCCTGGAGCTCGCTTTGGATTCGGCCGCAGGAGACGCGAGTTGCTTTGGCCTCGAAATTCCTTGGCGGTCCCGCGGTGTGTTGTAACCCTAAACTCTGAACCCTAAATCGAAAATATCCCAAAAATTAGAGTACTTTTTTGCATTCTTGGTTTCTGCGTTTCTGCAAGTTCGGGCCTGTGCCTGGTTCTTTCAAAGCCGCGGGTTGAGGTTTCGGGCTTTATAGGGTCTAGCCGGCTCTTCTCAGGATCCGGCTTTAAAACCCTAAACCCTGAACCGTTCACCCGCTTTGGGTTTAAGATTTACGCCCTTGTGGCTGTTGGGTCTCTGCATGATTCAGGTCTTCGACTTCGAAGGCTGTCTAGGGTTTAGTACTCAGGATTGGGGTTTAGGATTTAGGGTTTAGTGATTAGGATTTAGGGTTTAGGTGTGGTTTTTTGTTCGGTTTAGGGTTTAGGGCTTAGCATTCAGGATTGGGGGATTAGGTTGCATTCAGCTAGACGAGGATTATCGAGTGCGCCGACTCCAAAGAGGCTCCAACACCTCTTACTTAAGGTTTAGGGCTTTTAGGGTTTAGGGTTTAGGGTTTAGGCTGGCTACCTCAAGCCGTGAAGCCATGCTGAATAATGTAATTTAACGTCTAACTAGTCCTTAAGAGCCTCTGCCCAGAGGCTCCATAGTAGTTCTTTGTTGGGATTACCTTATAGGATCCCATGGAGCCTGTGGGTGTGTGCCTATTCCCATGCATCGGCTGGAACGGTCTATGGTGTTTTGGAGAATGCATGGGAGAGGCAATAATGAGTACACAGCCTCGATGGCCATGTAAGGTGAGAGCACCCTGAAAAGTAATTACCTCTCAGGCCTTTCAGTTCCGTTGTCGTTCGTCAACATACCAGAACGAAGGTGGCTGCACGCAAGAAGCCATCATAGTACACTCTCCTTGATGTCTACATCTTGAAACCTCTGAATGCCAAAGCTCAATGCTTGAACCCCATAGGCCAGGGTACAAGGCTGCATTGCAGCGCTCGAGGCTGTTGATCGCGGCAAGGAACTTTCCAAGAGGCATTTCTTCGAGTCGCTCTGCTAGCTCTTCCTGGGAGATGCTTATCAGATGCCAAGAGCGACCCTCAAGGACCACTTTTGTTCTGAGTACTCACTACAGATTTACCACAGCCACTAGAAGTCTACGACCACTGCCACGACCATCACAATACCAATCCCCTAAACCCTTAACCCTAAACCCTGAACCCTAAACCCTTATCCCTAAACCCTAAACCCTTAACCCCCAACCGAAAAGCCCGAAACGAACTATCTCCAGCCGCGCTTGGGATGCCGCCACTCGGCGCGCGAAGCCCTTCAAGGATCCCAAGACTCGAACCCCTTAATTAAAAAGGCGAGACTCAGAGAAAAGAACAGTATGTCTGTATGTATGTATGTATGTATGTACGTATGTCTGAATGTGTTTTGCGGTATGGTATTGTGTTGTGTGTGCCTGCGAACTGTCCTATCACCAGAGAGGTGAAAAGAGGTCCTTTCTCGAGTGTGTGCTTTTTGGATTCTTGAAGAGGTCTGGGTCTACCCATAGGCTCCTTAGTAGTTCCTTTTTGGGGTTACCTTATAGGATTCTACATATGAACCATAAAAAGGAACTACTTAGGAGCCTATGGGTATATTGTAGACCGCAGCCCTCAGACTTAAGATAGCAGGACTGGTCGCAAAATAGGTCTTCAGGATCTTGGTTCATGCGGTCTTTCAAGGTTTGTCTAAGGTTCGTCAGGGCTTACGGCTTTAGGGTTCTACCTAGTTTAATGGGCTCAGGGGGTTGACCATTTTGGAACTTGCAGTATTCGGTGCTTAAGGTCACCTCAACTCTCCAAGTCAAGCCCGACAGGCCCTGTACTCACCCTCGGCCACTCTGAACTGTTTGCGCGCCCCCAAAAATACAAAAATAGACGCTCAATCCCAAACTCTTATAGACTTGAACACCAAGCCCAAAGCCTTAACCTTAAATGCCAAACTCTAAAATCCCAAATCCTAAACCCCTAAACCCTAAAATCCCAAGCCTCTTCTGCCTCTTGCAGCCCGGGCTCCGGGCTGTGCAAAGCGCGGCTGGGACGCCGTAGGAGACCCTGATTCCGGATCTCCTGAGGGTTTAGGGTTTAGGGGATTAAGGTTTAGGGTTTAGGGGTTTAGGTAGGGTTTAGGGGTTTAGGGTTTAGGGCGTCGGTTCGAAAGATGACGGTAACCCTAAACCAATTACGATCTACTATCTAGCACACCCCA